CTTATAATCATGGTCACGCGAAGCAATGTAATTTTTCTTGACTATCATTAGGTTTGCCATTACAAGTCTATATTTACTATTCAGGACAGAAGACCAAATTTACGGAGTTTCGTGTCTCAGTATTAAATGTTCATCCTATGTGAATACCTCTGCATCTGCTCTAGATTTTATCCAGGGATTAAAATTCTGTTTAAATCTTGTCAAATGCTGAGTTCTCACGTAGACCAAGATAATCCTGTGTATTTAGCTGACAGAGAGGTGTTTCCATGGCAGTAACTGAGGGGGGGGGGGGGGCTTAAAACTAAAACCAACTATTTCTTTGGTTTTAAATATTTAAAAGGTTTGAGCTTTTAAATTAAAAAATACATACAGGAGGATGGATATATCACAAGAACAAGAGAAGTAGTATACTTATATATAAAGTTGGTAACTTTTATTCATAGCAAACTCTTCTTATGCACACAACGCACTAACACTGTGTACATTGTCCACCGCATTACCTGGGTTAAAAGTACTATAATTGGCTAAAATCTTGGTAAACCTATATACAGGAGAACCTGATCGCTTGCACCTTAAAAATGGACGGAATGGACGGAGAATTCATTGATTGCCATTGAACTGAGATACTATATACAGCTAGGAAAGGAATTACTTTTGCAGGCGTGAGATACAGGACAGGAAAGAGGATTAGTGTTGATAGTATTGCAGGGTGGGAATACAGGATACAGGATAGGCGTCAGTATTGCAGGGTAGGGATACAGAATACAAGATAGATGTCAGTATTGCAGGGTAGGGATACAGGATACAAGATAGGTGTCATTATTGGAAGATAGGGATACAGGATACAGGATACGAATCACTTTTTCAGGGTTAAGATACGGAAAGAGATGTTAGTATTGCAAAGTGGGGATACAGGATGGGTGTCAGTAAACTTGCAGTGAGCATACAGGATACAGGATAGGGGTCAGTATTGCAGGATGGCGATACAGAATACAGGAGAGGTGTCAGTGTTACAGGGTGGGAATACACGATACAGGATAAGTGTCAGAATTGGAGGATAGGGATACAGAATACGAGAAAGGTGTCTATATTGCAGGGAAGGGATACAGAATACAGGATACGTGTTAGTATTGCATGGTAGAGATATAGGATACAGGCTAGGTGTTAGTTTTGCAGGGTAGGGATACAGGATACAAGAAAGGTGTCAGTATTGCATTGTAGGGATACAGGATACAGGATAGGTGTCAGTATTGCAGGGTAGGGATACAGGATACAGGATAGGTGTCAGTATTGCAGGGTGCCGGTAGGGATACAGGAAAAAGAATAGGTGTCAGTACTGCAGGGGTGCGATACGAGATACAGGATACAGGATTCAGGACAGGTATAATTATTGTAGGGTAGTGACAAAGGATACAGGATAGGTGTCAGTATTGCAGGGTGGGGATACAGGATTCAAGATAGGTGTCAGTATTGCAGGGTGGGGATACAGGATACAAGATAGGTGTCAGTATTGCAGGTTAGGGATACAGGATACAAGATAGGTGTCAGTATTGCAGGGTAGGGATACAGGATACAAGATAGGTGTCAGTATTGCAGGGTAGGGATACAGGAAACAGGATAGGTGTCAGTATTGCAGGGTAGGGATACAGGATACAAGATAGGTGTCAGTATTGCAGGGTAGGGATACAGGATACAAGATAGGTGTCAGTATTGCAGGGTAGGGATACAGGATACAAGATAGGTGTCAGTATTGCAGGGTAGGGATACAGGAAACAGGATAGGTGTCAGTATTGCAGGGTAGGGATACCGGATACAGGATAGGTGTCAGTATTGCAGGGTAGGGATACCGGATACAGGATAGGTGTCAGTATTGCAGGGTAGGGATACCGGATACAGGATAGGTGTCAGTATTGCAGGGTAGGGATACAGGATACAGGATAGGTGTCAGTATTGCAGGGTCGGGATACAGGATAGGTGTCAGTATTGCAGAGAAGGGATACAGGATACAAGATAGGTATCAGTATTGCAGGGTAGGGATACCGGATACAGGATAGGTGTCAGTATTGCAGGGTAGGGATACAGGATCCAGGATATAGGATAGGTGTCAGTATTTCAGGGTAGGGATACAGGATACAGCATAGCGTTTTTAATCGTTTTTTTTTATAAACTATCTAAAAAACAATCGTTTTTCATTTACTTTTTTTTCTTGTATTTACTTGTGAATGTATTTTTAGTTGAGATTTCAATATGAATAGTTTGTTTCAACAAATACAGTTTGTTTCAACAAATACCGATCAGAACAAAATTATTAAACTTTTTATTTTCAATTGGCTAATATTAAATTTTCTTTTGTGTTTTGTTTTTAGCTGAACCATCCTACATTATTATTTTATATTTTGTAAAAATAAATACTATAACTTTACAGTGATAACCAGAAAACTCTGGAATAGACTCTATTTATTACTTAATGGTTAAATGAACATAAGGCACATCAATTGTGCAGTGTAACAGACTAATTCCATCTTATAAATGATTTAATAACTTACTAGTCTAGCTATTTGCTTTGAAACGACATAAAATGCAATTGCTTTTGCAATTGCTTTACTGTCGTCTTCCTATTCTACACTTTTCTGGTTATCACTAAATATTAATCTAATACATCAATATACTAATATAAAACATTAATATATAAATCAAATAAATCAATTATATTAATCTAATACATCAATATGTAAATCAAATACATCAATATTTAAATCTAATACATCAATATATAAATCTAATACATCAATATATAAATCTAATACATCAATTATACAAATCAAATACATCAATTATACAAATCAAATACATCAATATAAAAATCAAATACATCAATATATAAATCAAATACATCAATTTATAAATCTAATACATCAATATATAAATCAAATACATCAATATATAAATCAAATACGTCAATATATAAATCAAATACATCAATATATAAATCAAATACATCAATATATAAATCTAATACATCAATATATAAATCTATTTATCTGATACGTATTTATCTATTCAACTGTCTGTTCAATAATATATATCTATCTATCTCTATGCATTAAATGCAAAATAAACCCGTTTAATCTAAAATCTAGGTTTCATGATAAAGATAACTTGGCTCAACGCCATCAATTCAATTTCCTTGAAATAATTTTCATAATCTTCTCCTTACTGCTCACGCGTATTAGCCACAGCACGCACCCTTACATTCGGGCCAGTACGCGCATTCACAGTTTTAACACACTTTTCACCTTCGGTGCGCCATTTCTTGCTGTTTTAGCAACCTTTTAAGACGATTACTAGAAGTCTTCGTCACTTTTAGCACCCTTACAGTCTCCTATGTAGCTATATCGATCATTTGTAGCTTTAACCCGACCTACAGGGTGTCCCACAAAACATGACAGTTGGTAAATAGTTTTGAATGTCGTCTTCCATACACTGTATTAGATATTTAAGGCTGTTTTTTCAGTTTAAAAAATCTTTTGCTCAAATACATGTTACTTTGAAGTTAATTTTACTATTATATGACTCCTATATAATATTGTCTTTGGTATTAAACAACTTAAAAAATTATGGAAGAAGACATTCTAAACTATTTACAAACTGTCATCTTTCGTGGGACACCCTGAATCAGCCAAATCAGTCCGATCTTTTGTATAGCGTTAACTAGACCTTTCAGTAATCAGTCTGATTAGTTGGCCTTTTAGCCTGATTCTTTGTAGTTTTAAAACCTTTTCTGTAGGTTTTTAATACCTTTTACTTAGTTTTGACGCCCTTACAGCTCTATCGCTAGTAGCTTTTAAAACATTTTCTATCTTTTAAACCCAATTCAATCATGTGCAATTTTAAACTCCTTTTCAGCAAAATCACTTGGAGTTTAATACCATTTCAGTACGATCTTTTAGATTTATTCAGCGCAATAAATGACTAAAGTTTTATAATTTTTTATTACTATCACTTGCAGTCTTACCACATTTTCAGAGTGATCACTTGGTGTTGTAACACATTTTCAGAGAGATCAGTTGGTGTTGTAACACATTTTCAGAGAGATCAGTTGGTGTTGTAACACATTTTCAGAGAGATCAGTTGGTGTTGTAACACATTTTCTGAGAGATCAGTTGGCGTTCACATTTTCAGAGCGATCAGTTGGTGTTGTAACACATTTTCTGAGAGATCAGTTGGCGTTCACATTTTCAGAGCAATCATTTTGTTTCAAACCTTTTTCCTCATATTCACTTGTATTTAAGTCTTTTCAGAATTATTAACTCTTGTTATAAAATCGTTTGAGTGCGATCACTTTTACTTAAACACCTTTTCAGCAGAATCACTTGCGAGTTTTTACACATTTTTAGCACGATCATTTCTAGTAAGAACTCCTTTCCAGAACGATCAAATGTCCAGCCCGACTTCTTGCCCTCTTATAAGATAAACATTTTAGTAACCATATAACCAGGTCTAATTTAGCATCTGCAAACCTCTAGGATTCCTCGTTAACAACAAGTTGAAAGTTTTAAGGTGTTCTGAAGAGAAAAATGGCTCGTATGTAGGACTTGTGTACAAAATGGAGAAGAATGTTGTTGAAGGAAGAGGGATTACCTTTTGTAATTGAAATCTGTGCCTTCAGTATCCGCTTAAGACACTTCCTTTCTCTTCACTCCAAAAAAAACATTATCACAAATCTAAGTTTCATTGGAAGATTGTATGAAATGTCGTCTTGAAAGAAATTTCCATTAAATGTGTACAACTAGATTTATGATTGGGTTCAGGAAAGTGATAACATTATCATTGATAATACATTTTTTTCTTGTTATTTTTTTTGCATGAAAATGTCCTGTAACTTATACTCATGATAGATTAATTCCTTAGTAAAGAATAATATTCGTTAAAATCCATACAATGAAACCAAAAAGTAAAAAAGATTAAAGAGGTCCACTTAAGAATGTCAAAAAACACAACTGGTTTATAAATTTATTGTTAAGCTTTACAAACTTAAAACAGTATAATTGAGATTTTTATGAGGAGTATTTTGATAAAATCACATCTAATGGTAGAAAAGATTCACAACAGATTAAACAGAGTATTTTAAGCTTCTGAGTTAGGACCACAATACAAAATAAGTAAAAGTTGACCGTAAAGGTCATCTTGCCATGATATGCAGCATTCACTGTAGTGTACACTATACACAATACACTGTAAAATGCAATGTATTGTGTACACTATATACAATACACTGTACTGTGCAGTGTATTGTGTATACTATATACAATACACCGTAAAATGCAGTGTATTGTGTACACTATATACAATACACTGTACTGTGCAATGTATTGTGCACACTATGCACAATACACTGTAAAATGCAGTGAATTGTGTACACTATATACAATACACTCTACTGTGCAGTGTATTGTGTACACTATACACAATACATTTTACAGTGCAGTGTAGTGTAGATAGTGTACATTGTATAATGCGCCCGAAAAAATGCTAAAAGACATCAAGGAGAAATGTGCAATATTATTTATAACGAAAAAATCACGTCTAATGTAGTAATAATCCAACTACAACCTTTCAAATCGGATTGCATTGGTCCCTAACGAAAAGTGGAATAAAACAACGACTTCAAAATTCAAATGTTAATGGAATAGTTGAAATATAATAATAACGGTTTGCACACAACACTCAATAAAATTTCTATCTAATTTTAAACTAAATGTACAGTAGTACATTAATCAATGTTTAGGTCGAATTACTTTTTCACAATTTTCTAACGTACAGTACAGTGTACATATAAATACTATCAATGGTTAAAAAATCACAGATACACCAGTGCAGCATACGTATTAAAAGTTTTAGTAGACATAATACCAATTTTGAGTTAAAGTTCATAAACTATGTTATAACAATTTGTAAAAAAATATACGAAACATGCTTAAAGCAATTTTTGAACTTTAGGTCGTGTATATATTTCAGAGATTTTGCAATCTAGACTCTAGAGGAAATATTTATTTTTTTATCGCGCATTTTTAAGTTCTTAAGGTGGGTATCTATATTATTACGATTGTAAAATTATGAAGTAAATATAATACAGTCTAATTTGCTGTTTTCTTACATTTCTACAATTTCAGAGTATGCACTGAAAATTTATTTCAAAAAGTATTTTTTAATATTTTTGAACGATAAATGGTTGAGACAAGGCAGGTAAGTGTACAGGTGGGAAGGGGAAGTTACCCCCCCCCCCCCCCTAGAAAATAGTTTTATGACTAAAATTTCACAAATGCAAAACAGTGGAAAAGGAAGACGACCCTTATAATCAATTTATGATTCAATTGGTGCAATGAACATGTACACTACACGGTAATGTACAATGTACACTACACGGTAATGTACAATGTACACTACACGGTAATGTACAATGTACACTACACGGTAATGTACAATGTACACTAAACAGTAATGTAAAAGGTACACTAAACAGTAATGTAAAAGGTACACTACACGATAATGTACAATGTACACAAACCCATTTCAATTAGTAAGTCGATTTTCAAGGTACTGGAAAAAGCTAATATATTAAATGTCGTCTTCCTCTTCCACAGTTCCACTGCATAATGTATATTTGAGTGCTTAAGTGGACTTAGTGGACTTAGAGAATGGTCCGGTTCAAGCGTTATGAAATTATTTATACAGATATCTTTCAACTTTTTTGTCAATTAAAGAATTTACGTTTTCTACTTTTTAGATAGTTTTAAACGTTACAGAGTTATTCATTATAGACAACTGCTTTAGATCTATCCTTTCCCCACAACCAGCTTCAAATATAAAAAGAAAATAATATAAACAGACAGATATAGAGATGTAATTTGTACAGTTGCATCACGCCGTTCACTGCTTCACCTCAGGAGATCAGCTGATGAAACTGTTATTCTAGGAGTTCATCTAGTTGTACTCGAAGAACATCACGTCGATAAGGAATGTTGCCGCAATAATAAGAACCTGATCCATGTTTAAAGTATTAATACGAAATTTTTTTTGAAAAACACGAGTACTTTGTATATTTCAATAATTTTTAGGACATAGCCACTCAAACTTAACCAAATAGATTTGTTGACCCGGAAAATAAAAATGTTTTTTTGTTGTAAAATTTTACCACCATTTAAATGGGTATAATTAAAAATTGATACTTAATATTAAAACTTTCCTTTTCACTGACATCCATCCCAGGGTTAAAAGTCAATAAGAAATTGTCAGCATCTGTTAAAGTTTCCTTCCAGCACCCCATCCACTTCTTGGTAATACTTCCAACCTAACAAAAGTATTTAACTTAAAATCAGCACACTAACAAAGCATTATTTCCTCCAGAAATCAGTTTTATACATATTCTTAAAATATTTTCTTCCCAAAAATATCCCCCCACCCTCCTCCCCCACATTAGATAGATAAAACTTTAGGTTCATCTTACACTAAATTGGGGAAAACATGATCGAATAAAATGAGAAATTATTTCAACTTTTGGATAAATTTGGGGAACAAACTTGCCGGATGATTATTAATTTTTCATTTCCCTCCAAAAAGCTGGGACAATCATTAAAATATATATATAATGTCAAAAATATCTCCCCCACCCCCTACAAAATAACTATTCCATCTGTACATAAAGTTCCTCTAAATTTCTATCTCTCAAGTCCCTAGGTCTGTACTAACCTCTGCCCCATCTGTATTCAGAACACTGAAGTTGATATCATCACAGCAGAAAAATAAACAGTTTGGACCACGGACTTTTAGAACCTGAATATCTTAATATTATTGTTATCATTAAAGCCAAACCCACCACTCAATTTTACAAGGTTTTCCGCTCCGTGTTACTAAATTATATCTACTGGACTAAATTACAAGTTTAGAACAGATGATCAGTTTGGGACCTTCAGTAATCAGTATAAATCTAATTGGAAAATAAAAGCAGCTTGATACCAACATTTTTAAAATGTCTTCATTAAGTGCTACTGCTACAGCTAATGCGTCTACTACTGCTACTGCTCATGCGTCTGCTACTGCTACTGCGTCTGCTACTGCTACTGCGTCTACTACTGCTACTGCGTCTACTACTGCTACTGCGTCTACTACTGCTACTGCGTCTACTACTGCTACTGCTACTGCATCTACTACTGCTACTGCGTCTACTACTGCTACTGCGTCTACTATTGCTACTACTACTGCTAATACTACTGCTACTGCTACTGCGTCTACTACTGCTACTACTACTGCTACTGCTACTGCGTCTACTACTGCTACTGCGTCTACTACTGCTACTGCGTCTACTACTGCTACTGCGTCTACTATTACTACTACTACTGCTACTACTACTGCGTCTACTACTGCTACTGCGTCTACTACTGCTACTGCGTCTACTACTGCTACTGCGTCTACTACTGCTACTGCTACTGCTACTGCTACTGCTACTGCTACTACTACTGCTACTGCTACTACTACTGTATACCTGGTTTCCAACACTATCAAAGATATGAAGAACAGGACTCCACCAGGTGGCTCTTTCCCGAATAGTTCCAACAGATTGACTTCCCACGCTTACATTCAACTCCTGAACAAATCAAATCAGGCTGTTAGGGACGTCCTACTATTCATAAACAACGAAATCAAAACAAGGCGGTCAACCCACAGTCCGTAGACTATGCTAAGTTATAAGGGACTGTCAATGCCTGGCTCTGGATTAACATGTTGTGTTCTGTCCAGATATAATTTAATAACGTACATTTACAAAGTGTTTCGCTGTTTAGTAGTACTGTAGTGTATTCTTGTATTGTTTTGTGCCTTAAGATATGAGAATATTGCAAGGATAGAGGTGGCTTGGATTAAAAATGAGAAAAATTTGGGAGAATTGGTGTAAATTCGTTCATATCAAGAACAATAAAGGTGTACCTGCGTAACATTACATTAAAAGTAAAATAAAATAACAAACCTGTGTACAGTACGGGAAGAGGAATAGCCTACGGTGTACCTGCGCAATATTACATAAAAAATAAAATAAAATAACTAACCTGTGTACAGTACGGGTAAAGAAATGAACAGCAAAGGCCCTGACAAGCTAATGCTCTATTTATTTCCATCACAGTCTGAAATAAAAAAACACACTTAAATTTAACATTTATCAAAGCTGGACAAATCTTTTTTATTTGTATTTCAATTTTATTTATTTAGAATTCGATATTTATTGCTTACTTGGTTAGTTTGATCAGTTATTGACATATTGAAACTTCTAACACTGCCACACCATAATCTAAAAACAAAAATATTATTTTAATAATTAAAAATCAATCTCTTCAAATACATCCAGATGCGTATACAGGGCATACGCCCAGGGGACACTCTTCTACCTGTTGCAGAAGTTTGAGTGTTCTTTAGCCCAAAAAAGTGTATCCCCCTGTGGTCCACATATCAAAAATCTAAAATATAAATTTTTATTGACTAATTCTTAAAAACTTGTCTTTTTAAAAAACACACTTAAAAATTAAGTAAAATCGATTAAAAGCACTTTAAACAATAATCAAAATTTAAGAGTTTCTCAGAGGTTTCTTTTAAACCCTTAATTATGGATATATTTTGGGGTTTCTACTGAAATTTATAAATAAAATTACTGTTCCAGAACACGTTTAGTGGATTTTCAATGAAAGGAAACGCAATTTTTTTCTTTTGTTTTTCAGATTAAGAATTACAGAGTACTCTTGAGAATCCTTTATCAAAAATTTTATTTAAAAGATTGCCATCTATTAAAAATGATTTATCAAAAAATACCTGTTTTCCATTTCACAGCCGGTGAGAAGTTCACAAGTAGATATTTTCTGTTTTATAATAATACTGTCGACATCCCTAGTTATCATATTATTTTAATAATACTGCTGCCATCCCTAGATTTCATATTATTTTAATAATACTGTCGACATCCCTAGATTTCATATTATTTAATAATACTGTCGACATCCCTAGATTTCATATTATTTTAATAATACTGCTGGCATCCCTAGATTTCATATTATTTTAATAATACTGCTGGCATCCCTAGATTTTATATTATTTTAATAATACTGCTGGCATCCCTAGATTTTATTTTATTTTAATAATACTGCTGGCATTCCTAGATTTCATATTATTTTAATAATACTGCTGGCATCCCTAGATTTCATATTATTTTAATAATACTGCTGGCATCCCTAGATTTCATATTATTTAATAATACTGCTGGCATCCCTAGATTTCATACTATTTTAATAATACTGCTGGCATCCCTAGATTTCATTTTGTTTTAATAATACTGCTGGCATCCCTAGATTTCATATTATTTTAATAATACTACCGGCATCCCTAGATTTCATATTATTCAAATAATACTGCTGGCATCCCTAAATTTCATATTATTTTAATAATACTGCTGGCATCCCTAGATTTCATATTATTTTAATAATACTGCTGGCATTCCTAGATTTCAATTTATTTTAATAATACTGCTGGCATCCCTAAATTTCATATTTTAATAATACTGCTGGCATCCCTAGATTTCATATTATTTTAATAATTCTGCTGGCATCCCTAGATTTCATAATATTTTAATAATACTGCTGGCATCCCTAAATTTCATATTGTTTTATTAATACTGCTGGCATCCCTAGATTTCATATTATTTAAATAATACTGCTGGCATCCCTAGATCTCATTTTGTTTTAAAAATACTGCTGGCATTCCTAGATTTCATATTATTTTAAAAATACTGCTGGCATCCCTAGATTTCATAATATTTTAATAATACTACTGGCATCCCTAAATTTCATATTGTTTTAATAATACTGCTGGCATCCCTAAATTTCATATTATTCAAATAATACTGCTGGCATCCCTAGATCTCATTTTGTTTTAAAAATACTGCTGGCATCCCTAGATTTCATATTGTTTTCATAATACTGCTGGCATCCCTAGATTTCATATTATTTTAATAATACTGCTGGCATCCCTAGATTTCATAATATTTTAATAATACTGCTGGCATCCCAAGATTTTTACACTTTAACTTTACGCAATGGTTACCTTAAGTTTCAAAATTCTGACGTATTTTTGGGTAATTTTTTTATTTTTAAAAAGTCCTAAAAAATAAAAGTAACATTTAAGTTTTAAAAATGAAAAACTTTCTTCAAAAATCTATCTCATGCTTTTTTTGTTCTTACCTTAGCGGGTCAAATTTCTTGCCGTCTGAACTTTTATAGGTGAGGGGGAAGGAGTGGGGCATTAATTGTAAAAACTTACCTCAGAGGTCCGAGGCCGGTTAGTACACGACCTCCTGTTATATCTATTTCATCTAAAATACATCATTGATCATATTATTACAGTTCTTGATGTAATTATATCAATTGAACAATTCAGGAATGGTAAAATTATTAGCTCATCAAGATTAAGTTTGCGGAATGTTATCGTCAAAAAGGTGTATTTCCTAGATCGAAAGTTTCCGTGCATCAAAAATTTCAAAATACAAGTAATTTTTAAATATTTTAAAATATTTTTATTATCCTTTCTTTAACATAATACAATTAAAATTCTTTTTGATGTACCTAGAAATACGCATAGGTACTTGATTGAAAGTATTTCACAATGTTTACATGTAAAAACTATGTTAACTAGCAGATGTGTGTCTTTCTATGAGACTATTGAAGGAAGTTCTAAGCTTTGCATTAGATGACCTTAACACAGTTCTTGGCAGAAATTTATTTTCTATTGCAAATGATTGTTCTGTAAATCCTTCGGATCTTAGTAAAATGTTAGTTAAGAAACAAATGAAATATTTTGATGTCCCATTGGAACATGCATGGAAAGTTCCGGTTTTAAATTTAAATAAAACATTTAAATACAGGAATGAATAATTTATATGTTGAAGGATTCGATGATTACGTAATAACTGAAATGATAAATATGTTATGTAATGAGTAATGATCAATGTTGTCTATTTGTGCATAATTTTGCATATTTTTAAAAACCAAAAAATGCATGTAATATACATAATTCTGAGTTTGCATGCAAAAAATCAGCCTCCTACGACAATTCTAAGTTATGTTTAACCACTGTTTAAATTTTCCGGAGAGTAATACGTTTTGTGGCCCCCCCCTTTAACAATAAAATTTTTTAAAGCTTTAAAATTTTACCGTATGACTTGCAAGTTTTTCTTATAACAATGTCAACACTAAAATTTTTTGTTTTATCCAATTGGATAGATTTGGTCAAGATCCTAGTGTTTTCTTACCTAATTCTATACCACGAGGCTCATCTGTTATTGGTTGTAAGCTTTGCATCATTCTGTCTGAAACCAATCAATCAACCAATCAGATAGCTTGATAAATGTTTCCAGTGTACATGCATAAGTAAATAAGCGTACATGTTGCAATAGTGCCATTTTTACCGCAGAGAGTAAATAAACAAATATGAAGATGACAGTACAATAGAAAAATATACCCGGATTGAAGAAAACGCCTGGTTTAATTGTAAAGCACCCCATTAGGCAATAACTTGTTCCATAAATTCAGTTTAAAAATAAGAGATTAGAGGCACAGGATTGGAATGCCGGATCTGTGCAAGCTACATTGTAATGTAGATTGCAATAAGTTTTTAACTGATACGGAATTTAGTTTAAGAATTTATCATTTCAGACAGTCCATTCGCTTATACATTTCAGACAGCCCATTGGCGTATACATTTCAGACAGCCCATTGGCGTGTACATTTCAGACAGCCCATTGGCGTATACATTTTAGACAGCCCATTGGCGTATACATTTCAGACAGCCCATTGGCGTATACATTTCAGACAGCCCATTGGCGGATGGATCCATTTCAATTATTATATAAATTCTTAGTCTTCTCAGCCAACCCTTTTTTTCCGATTACGAATCATAATAATTTAAAACTATTTTTAAGCAAGAAAAATATAGTCTTAACAAATTTATAAAATAGATTAAATATGTTAAAATAAATTACAGATCTGTGCAGGTTTGTTAACAATACATAAACTCTTAAATACAATAGATTCTATGACAATCAACTTTGGCGTTTGTACAAACATATTGTAAATATTAAAATAAGAAGGGACCTAACTTTTCTAAAAAATCAAGCTTTGTAAAACAAATCAAATAACACATTCGAGGAATAAAAACTTTCATGTAAAGATTCAAATCGTACTAAAATCATATGGAATTTAAAATTTCTTAATTTGAGATCAAATTAACAGCCAAATCAAACAAAGTTAAATACTTTGTTATTTTACATGAAAATTATAAAATATGTAAATGCGTCAAAACGCATTCACGGTTGAAAGACCTAATATCTTTGTGACGGTAAAAGTCTTTTAATTTTTAAAGAAGTTTTTGAAAACCGTAAAACTAGTCGATTAAAATCTTTAACGTAAAACAAAACTGAATCTAAGTTAATCTTCTTGTAGCAGAAGTTTGTGAATAAATTTAGTTTGTATTATTTTCTTAATTTAAGCTTCAAAATTATTTAAATAATTTGTGAATTGGTACAAGCTATTAGTAGAAATATAAAAGCTATTATTAGTATGAAAGCTATAAGTACAGTGCCAAGAACTTTGGAATAGGCGGAGTTATTGAAACTGGGTTCCGACCTTTTTTAAACCCCTCTCAAATTGGTCAAAAGTCAGAAATTTCACCAATGACAGATTCAGAAAATAATAACAAATCTAATGAGTTTTACTCCTAAATTGAAAATTTTCTGTTAAACTTAACTCCGTCTCATTCAAAAGTTCTTAGCTCAGGTCAAGGAGTTGTGCTGGTACAGCATGTGAATGTAAATATAAAATTGACTGAGATGTTGTAAAGCGTTCCAAGAGTTTCAGGAGTTCTTGGAACTGTTCCAGAATTACAATTTTCAGGAGTTCTAGGAAGTATAATGCTACATCGTCTATGCGCAAATATCCCCAACTGAAATTCTGACCTACTAACTTTCCGACCTCCGTCAATATCGGACCTAAGCCAGCTGTTTATTTTTGTATTATTTGAGGGTTAGGTTAGGTTAAGACAATTTCTGGGCCGAGCGCTGCGACAAGGACAGGCTAGGGGGTCGAGCACCGCGGCTAGGATACGCTAGGGGGCCGGGCGCTGGGGCCAAAAGTCCATATGGCAGCTGTAAAACCAAGTGCTAGTAGGTAGGATGATTAGTATATCGGATTTGGCGTAGGTAAGAAGTGGAGTATAGTGGATTAGCGTAGGTCAAAGGATACACAATCGCTTCAGGTGGTCAAGAGTTTCAGGAGCTCCTGGATTTCAAGGAGTTTCAGGTTTGAGATTATGTTTCCTCTGTGAGTAGAGCCCAGTATAGGACTACAGATATCTTTATACATATATAAATATCCATCAGAGCGTTCAGGATTATCAAGGAGGCGAACGCGAACTTATAGGTTCCGCTCTCCTGGTTACATTCCTCCTGAAAATACATTAAAATTGTTAAAAGACAACCAGTCGTCAGATGAAGTTGGGGCCGAAGCTCCGAACCATTTACTGTATCCATGGATAATGACCCACAATATCCAAGAAGGATTGATAATAAGAAGGATTTCATTGAGAACGTTTTGTAGCCCCCCCCCCCAAAAAAAAAAATTATTTATAGTAAGCAAACAAATTAAACTGATAAATTAAAATTAAAATAATGAAACATTGTTTAATTTGACTTTGTCAAAGGGTTGATATTTTTTAAGTGGTTTAGTTAAAAATAAATTGTTTTGCTTGACAGGTTTAGAGTAACATTTGTGAAATCACCCGCCCCCCCCCCCCTCCCTGGTGGCCCTTCTGGGTGTGTGATGATTTTAGAATATTCAGAATAAAACTTGACATAAACTGGCAAGATTTCCCTATCCTAAGACTTTGACCTAATATTACATTTAATATATCTTGAAGTTTATTTCTTTACCTGGTTCTGTGTTCCAAAAATCCAAAGGAACCCAACCAAAGCCCAGACCAGACCAAACATAAGGTAGAGGACAACAATGGTATTGCTTAGACTTTTTCCTTCTAAACAAAAAAAACATTCTATGAAAAATGACAAAAAATATTAATTAACGCTGTAAAATAATAACCTAATCGCTCAAAAATTTTGCCTACAAAACATAAAATGAGATGAGATAAAAATACAATATTTCTTTTATGAAAACTTGGCAGACCGGAATGTATGTTTACTTAGTTGTCCAAAGGGATAATTAAGAATCATAATATCCCGCAGTTGGTGGAATTATAGAATCACAGGTCGGTAATGTTGGTTTAAGGCGGTAAAACATAAAATATTTTTACCCGGGTTGATTGTCTCCGATTTACAGAATTTGTCGTAGATTGTGTAGACGACGGGGAGTAGGAGAAGGAGAACTCCAGCAGTGATTAACCAGACAGGGATATCCAGGTATCCATATCCAGCCCAACTGTAATAATATCAATCTATATAGAAATGCTTTGCACGCCTGTCTGTCTGTTTATTAATTTTTATCAGATTTTTTATGTCAACTCTTATGACGGGAAGGTGTATGGACGGGCAAACTCAAATTTTTTTGCCCAGAAAGAAATGTCTCGACATTTAATTAGAAAAGTTCCCGCCCCCGGACATTTTTTTTTTGGAGAACGAAGAAAAAATGGTTATCTAAAGTTAATATTTACTTTAAAAATGCCAAAAAAGCTAACAGTGATAACATTAACACAAAATAATAACCATAACCATAAAAAGATGTGTTCATGCAAAGATTACCTTAAACTTAGCCTAGATATTGTTGAGTTAGAATCTGAAGTTAGAGCCAATAATCCATCATCCCCTAGCTTAATTCCATCCTCAAACTAGTAGTTAAATTCAAGATTAAAACCTAAAAGCTGACATCGTCGTGTTTTGTTATGTTTAAAATCTAGTTAAATCTGGAAAATCTTGAAAAGGAACTGATTACTCGTGGCAAACTCTAATTTTACAATCCCTATATGTTTGCAATAATAGGATGAATGACTAGCTGTTATTTCAAGCTTTGACTTTTTATAAACAATTAGATTACATAGCTTGAGGTTGCCAAAATATAGAGATTAACCTATTAGACTTTGAGGCGAATGTTCATTTTCTTTGTCCAGTCCATGTGATGATGTGTTTATACCTGATTTCCCCGACTAGGTTTACAAGCGGTTAAACCATTCACGCCGACCCCAATCATAGCGGCGCCTAGCGGCAGTGACACGAGCACACTCGCTACAAATCTAGAGAAAAAAATTTATATTTCATAAAATTATTTCATTTGATCTCTTCGTAAAGCAAGGGAATATGTATTTTCTTAAAACTATTTCCCCCTCCCCAATATAATACCCCCCTATATTTTTCCCTATGCATCAAAAATCTCCCCCCCCCCCC